ACTATCATCTCTGGCTGGTACCGCGCCTGGTACATTGGCAGTTGGTCTTAAGAACACTGACCATCATCTCTGGCTGGTACCACGCCTGGTACCTTGGCACTTGGTCGTAAGAACACTCACTGTCATATCTGGCTGGTATCGCGCCTGGTACCTTGGCAGTTAGTCGTAAGAACACTGACTATCATCTCTGGCTGGTACCACGCCTGGTACCTCGGCAGTTGTCTTAAAAACACTCATCATTGTCATCTCTGGCTTGTACCACGCCTAATACCTTGGCAGTTGGTCTGAATATCTCTCACTGTCATCTCTAGCTGGTAATCCTCCTGGTAAATGGTCAGTTGGACTGAAGATCAGTTTCTGTCATCTCTGGCTAGTACCACATCTGGTAACTGGTCAGTTGAACTGGAGATCACTCGCTGTCATCTCTGGCTGGTACCGCACCTGGTAACTGGTCAGTTGGACTGATACCTTCAGGCGCTAATCCATACCCGTTTCAACCAGAAAGGTGTGAACAATTTTTGTATTTGTAAGATTGGAATTTTGAGCATATTCACTGAAACCATCCCACGCAACTTCCTGCATGCCACGAGTATGCGTGGGAAGGATTAGTCTTTTGGGAAAACTGAGCGTAATACAGGAAATCATAAAAATAAGGGGAAAACGATTGCCAGAAGAGTCATGATCTTTCCAAAAGAGAAAAATACCAGGAAAGTTAACCTGTCGAGTGACAACCACGTCACAAAAATGTATTTAAAACCTCATTTTGTTACAAAGTCAATAGATGTTTTAGAGGCTGAATAGCAGAATAGGCAGTCTATGATCAAAGCCGGACACAAGTAAAATAGGTCAATTAACCTGTAGTCCGGCTAAGATTACTGAAAACCTATCCTAATTCAAGGAAGACGTTACAGGATCAGTCATTTTTACTGGCAGGGGCGTGTTCAGCAGTATTTGCTTAATACTGTCCTGTTCATGGTAAGAGTCTTAGATCTTTACTTTTCCGGTTCATATGCTCTGTGTGTTTTGTTTGTAACATATTGATACGTACCACCTTTGGTTTAGTCGAAAACCAAATCAGCTTAAGGTGGTTTCACTGGGTTTTATCCGCGCGATACCATGCTCATACAGCACATTGGAATTTACGCGAATGTGATAAAAGAGGACAATATCGATGAAAAATCAAATAAACAAGGGGTAAAGAGAATCGCCGTTCAGTTCTCGAGGCGGATTAAAGTTTGAAAGCTTTAAAATGATTCTATGAAAATGAAATTTTGACATCTTGTTGCCTTTATATTGCAGTCAATGTTGACTAAATTTTAAAAAAATTCATCGAGTAGATTTGAATTTACGAGCATGTTAATTAACATAACACAATAGTCCAAAAATACGGCTCATAGCCAAGTTAAGTCGACCTAATATTTTGAAATATCAAATGGTACGATTTCAATACAATTTTTACCCATTATTCCAAAGTGATTTACCAACTTCTTTAGATAAAATTAGGAACTCAAAACTGAGAAAATAAACTACTTTTTCTACAAAGTTACTAATATGTTTTGTTTTTGCAAATTTGTTTTTGCAAATTTTTCATACTTTAAAACTTCAATATGAAATTTCTCGAAAATGCTCGTATAGATTTTCTTCAAATTTTCTGTACCTTGAGCAAATTACTTATCCTCCAATATCTCAAAAGCAATTTAAAAACCTAGGTCTAAAAATGGAGAAAATAGGCAATGAAGTAAACGCATCAACGCTTAACAGCAATCTTATATTAATTCCGATTTCAGTAAAAACATGATCATTCGAAAATTTCATCTTTCCTTTGAAATCTCTAAAAAAAAATAAAGTATTGGATTGTTTGCGTCCGAGTATTTGCGATTTGAAGTTGCATGGTATCGCGCGGATAAAACCCAGTGAAGCCACCATAATGGTTTTGACGTCTTCACTTGACGTTTTATTTTCGGAGTTTGCTTCCCACTTCTCCATAATAATAATGATGATGATGATGATGATGATAATAATAATAGTTTTTGACTTCTTAGGCGCTCACTACGAAATTCTAAGTAGAGAACTGAACGTGTTATTTGGACAGCAAGTAGCTAGCCTAACCATAGAACG